AGAAAAATAACAGAAATCCAAATACTCCACAACTTAACATTCATAATATTTAGGATATATTTTTAAATCACCTATTATACAAAGAAATAATAAATGGAACATGTTCTCAGTCAACTAAGACCAACCCTGAGGGATACAGATGACAGAACTAACAGACAAGAGTTTGTTATAACAATTTTCAAGGAAGTAACACAAATTATGCTCACAACAAATGAAAAGAAAGGAAAGCTCAGCAGAGAAATAGAAATGAAAAGGAACCAAATGGAAATTCTAAAACTGAATAATTCAATATCAAAAGTGAAAAATATATATACATACCAGTCACTAGATGGACTTAACAGATGAATGGAGATGAGAAAGTGAACTTAAATACAGATCAAAAGAAGATCAAGACAGAGAAAATTATTGAAAAATAATGAACAGAGCTGCAAGGACCAGTTTAAAAAAAAAAAAAAAAAAAACCTACTACCACTGAATCAAATCCCAACTCATAGCAACCCTATAGGACAGAGTAGAACTGGCCCATAGGGTTACCAAGTCTGTAAATCTTTACAGAAGCAGACTGTCTTATCTTTCTCCTTTGGAGAAGCTAATGGGTTCAAACTGCCAACATTGTAGTTAGCAGCTCAATGCTTTAACCATTACACCACCACAGAGCTCCTTCAGGAACCAGTTAAACCAGAAAAACCAAACTCATTATCATTGATTCTGACTCACAGTGACCCCCATTGGGTTTCCAAGGCTGTAAATCTTCACAGAAGCAGACTGCCTCATCTTTCTTCTTCAGAGTGGCTGGTGGATGCAAACCATCAGCTTCCTGGTTAGCAGCCAAATGCCTTCACCAATACACCACCAGAATTCCTTTCAGGGAGAGGTTGAATGATATCAAATACTCTAACATATGGACAATTAGGATTTCAGAAGGAGAAGAAAGAGAGAATGCCACAACAAACAAAATTTATTTGAAGAAGTAATGGTCAAAACTATTCCAAGCTGTAAAAAGACATAAATTCAAGGTGCTCAGCAAACACCTATGAGGATAAATGTGAAGAAAATCATATCAAAGCATATCACAGCCAAACTACTGAAAGTCAAAGATAAAGAGCAGATCTCACAAACGAGGAACAACAATTTCAATGACCTCCCTGGAGGACAGAAGGGAATGAAATATTTCCAAAGTGCAGTGAAAAAAACTATCAACTGAGAATTCTATATCCAATGAAAACATTCTTTTCCTGAGTGAAAGCAAGTGAAAGACTTTTTTAGATAAAAGAAAATGAAAGAAATTCATTTGCAGTGGACCTACACTACAAGAAATGCTAAAGGAAAATATTCAGGTAGATGGAAACTAATATCTTCAGAAAGACTTTTTTTCTTCTTAATTCTTTAATACATGTATAACTTGTATGACAGTTAAAAGTAAAAATATAATATTTTCAGTGGTGTATATGATGTTTATTTAAGAAATGATGTTTATAGATGTAATAAATATAAAAAACTATAAAGAATAGGAAGGAGGCAGAATATGTCCCTATAGAATTGCAAGTTTTACATGAAATATGCAATATTAACTTTAAGAGGATTTTGAAAATGTATGGGTGTTTTATAACGATAAAATGATCAATTCAACAGAGAGGCATAATAATCACAAATGTGTATGTGTCTAATTAGAGCTTCAAAATATGTAAAGCAAACACTGACAGAAGTAAAAAGAGAAATAGACAATTTCACAATCAAACCAAAAAAAAACCCAAACTAACTGCCGTTGAGTTGGATCCGACTCATAGCGACCCCTCCTTGGGTTTCTGAGGCAATATCTCTATGGAAATAGATTGCCCAATCTTCCTTTCAAGGAGTGGTTGGTGGATTTGAACCACCAGCCTTCGGGTTAGCAGTCAAATGCGTTATGCACTATGCCACCAGAGCTCCTGACAGAAAATGTTAACACCCCTCTCTCAGTGGTTGATAAAAATAGACCAAAAAAAAAAAAAAAAAAACCAGGAACGACATCGATCTGAAAAATGATCTCAATCACCTTGACCAGACTAACATTTATAAACACTGCATGTAACAAGGAGCTCTGGTGGCAGAGAACCAGAAAAAGGAAGTTGAAGAGACAAGGACTTTTCTCCAGAGCCAACACAGGGAGGAAGCATTTCCTTAGAGCCGGCTCCCTGAATTTGGACTTCTAGCATCTTAAACTGTGAGAAAATAGATTTGTTTGTTATAGTCACCCACTTGTGGTATTTCTATTATAGCAACACTAGATAATTAAAACACAGCCCAATCAGTCAAGTAAGGAGAGGGTAGTGAAGCCCCATACACATAAATAAAACCCTTCCTCAGTGCCTTAGGCTGGGTTCTCTAGAGAAACAAAACCAGTGAAGCGTACGTATGTATAGATACAGGGATTTTTCTCAAGGAAACGGTTCACATGGTTGTAGAGGCTGACAAGCCCCAAGTCTGTGTTCAGATATCAAGCTGAAGTCTTCTCCTGACTCACATAGCTGCAGGGGCTGACAAACCTAGATCGGCAGGTCAAACAGCAAACTGCTGGCTCATGGGCTGCAGAGGCTGCTAGATCCCAAGGTTGGCAGGCACTATGCCCGTTTGCTGGCTCAAGTCCCAAGAACCAGAAGTCAGACGATGAGAGCTGGATACAGGATCCAGAGCAAGCAAAAGTCAAGAGCGTTATGTCAGAACGCCCATATATTTGATGCAGGCCATAACCCTAGAGACTCCCTTTCCACTGATTGGCTGCTCGTAGCAGATCTCATATTACATTATACCAGATCTCAACAGGAGGGATGGCTATATCATTACCTCACTGCCAAACTACATCATAACTGCCAAACCAGAGAATCATGCTAGCCAAGTTGACACACAACCTTAACCATCACCCTCAGTGACCTAACAGTCTCTTTCACAGGATACCTGGTCTCCACTCAGGACTACTCCACCTACAACAGCCTCCTTTGGCTTCCAACCAGCCCTTCCACAACCTGTTCATGTTAATGGAGGTCTTCACGCCAGTCCCACTCTTAAAGCCAATTGCCCCAGATCCCACTTGCCAATCTATTAACAAAGGCAGGCTCTGCAGCCTCAGGGAAGTTAAGCCTGTTTCCTCACCTGTAAAATGGAAATACAGAATGATAATATCTTTTAATTATAGCATAGTAAGAATGAATGAAATAATGCACAGAAAATGTTTACCCATTCCACAGAAAAAGTGCCCAAAGTCCCTGCCTTCCCATCTCATAAGGTGGTTGTGGCAGTTAAGCTTGTGCATCAACTTGGCTGGGCCTGGTTTTGAGTAGCTGGGCAGCTGGATGTAGTTATTCCCCAAGGTGAGACTGGCAATCAAGTCCATGGTAGACACCACTGGAGCAGCTGAGTAGCTGCTTTAGGGATGTGGTCTGCTTCCAGTATATAAGAAGCAATTTTGAGGAAGGTCTCCAGTTTTTTGACATGCTTGAACCCTGCATGTAGCCACATTGTCATTCAACAGCCTGCCATGCCCTGCTGATCTTAGGACTTTTTATGGATTTGAATTAATGGCCTGCCATGTGGCTTGGTAACACTGGGACTGTGCCTTTTTACTTGTCAACCTTGGGTTTGTCAGTCTCAGCAGCCAGCAGCTGCCTGAGTGAAGAAAAGCCTGCAGCTTCAGTGGGCCGGGAGCAGGAGGCGGAGATGAAGCCCAAGGTTGAGGGGTTTGCACCCAGCCCCTAGAGCCTGGCATTTGAACTCAGACTTCTAACCTCCAAAACTGTAAGAGAATAAACTCCTGTTTGTTCACGCCATCCCATTTGTGGTACGTTTCTGTTAGAATGGCACTAGAGGTAACCGAAACAGTAGTTGAGAGAGTTAAACTGAGATCACACATGTAAATGGCCTTGCACAGAGAGTCTGCCTTCCCTGTTCTCCATCCCCACACACCACACCACACACACACAGACACACACACACACACACACACACACACCTACCCCAACCATGAAGGCAAGAATTTGCTGGGTGGGTGTATCTGGTGCCCCCTTATGGCCAGAGAGAGGAATTGCACTGTCCACTCCTGGAAGTAAACTAGTCACACACACCCCCCAGCCTAGTTTCTCTCTCATCTTTGTTGTTGTTGTTGTTATGTGCCATCGAGTCGGCCCCGACTCATAGCAACCCCTCCTTGGGTTTCCAAGGCAGTATCACTACGGAAGTAGGATTGCCCAACCTTCCTTCCGAGGAGTGGCTGGTGGCTCTCATCTTTATCTGCCACAAAGAAACACTGAGCAGAGCAGCACAGCTCAGCTCTCCAAGTTTCTCAGGAAAATCCCCTCAGCAGTGACAGAGATCTGTGGGGAACCTCCTAGAGCCAATTTCTTCCTTGTGAAATAAGGAAGATCATCTAATCTCAAGAGGCCTTGTGAAGATGAAACGAGCCCCTGTATGTAATCATGGCACTGACACCAGCACAGAGTATGACACAAACATAACAGACACTGAGCGATCTTCTAAAACATAATTCTAGGCTTCAAGTTGCTATCACCCTGCCGAAACTCACTGCTAACTCATAAGGTCCTTCATTTTAAAGAGGAGGAAACTGAGGCCCAGAAAAGGGAAGACATTTGGCCAAGATCTCATACGTCAGGAGCTGAACCCAGGCTACCGTTCAGGTCCCCAGAGGAAGAGGGAGGAGAAAACCATTTGAGTTTCTCCTGGAACAATGTCACTTGACTAGATACTCCCGTCCTCCCTTCCCCAGCCCCCACTGTCAATCTTCACTACACGTGCTGCCCGGGATGCAGCCCCACCTGCCTGAGCCCTCTTGGTCCTCTACACACTTTCCACACCTCCACAACTCTCATGGACCACAGAACAAACCAAAAACACAACTTCTGTGACTTTATTTGATCACTGCAAAGGGGTCAGGGTGTTTGTCTGGTCCAACTGCATCATCAGTCCCTGAAGGTAAGCAGGAGGCCTAGGAGGATGCCCCAAGCAGGACCCCGACTGGAAGCCTCTGCACCTGCAGTCTGGGCCTTCTCTAAGACGTTACGAACCTCGGTCACTCGGATGCTTCCTACAGTCCAAAAATCTGCTAAAAGCTTTTGATAATCACGAGTACAGCCCATAAGGAGGAAAGTAGTATTGAGCAACCCTGTAAGAAGAGAGAGAGGAGTAAGAATGCTTTAAAAACTCACATGCCCTGACGTTCTTTCAAGATGCCCTTCAAAAACCAGAAACCTGCTCTCAAACGAAGACTTGGGTACCAGGTGCCTTACCTCTTCCTGGCCAGGAAATTCATGGGCCTGAGCCATTGCAGCCCCCATCCCATCTCCAGAGCCCATGAACCTGAAATAGGCGAGGCATCTGATCATGAAGTGGCCTCCTCTCACCTGTCTGAAATTTTAAGGTGGAACTATAACATCTCGAGGCATTCTGCGGGCAAGGTTCAGTGGTGACGAAATTTGGGAGGCAATCTTTAGTGTGCTCGCCCACACAGGTTGGGCAACTATGAGAAGAAAATTCTGTAAACATGGCAGTGCTGGCCTTGAGTTTCACGATAGGACCCAGATTAGTCAGGTTGTTGCAGAGGTATCTCCGGCAGACATGGCTATAGGAGGCAATGGACACTCCGGGTGGTGATACGAGGTAAGAGATCTGTGGGGGGTAAGACAAGGCTGGGGTGCAGCCTTTAAAACCCACAACTCCTTTTTTGGTACCTGGGGAGCAGAGAATTAGAGAGTTCTGATCAGGGCCTTTGGTCCCACCCAGACTCCACCCTCCCACACCGTTCTTCCTGTGCCCACCCACCTGTCCCACTGCCATCTTGGCCTCTCCCCCGGTGTCTGGTCACTGCAGCTACAAAGGCTGGATCCCCACTAGCATCTCCCTGTTCTCCCTGCAGGAGCCCCTCTGCCCCTCTCTCCCATTTACTCTGCCCTTTTCTTCTCTCCCAGATTGGGATCTGCCTGCCTCCATCCTGCCCTGTTAGCTCACCCACGCCACAACCATCTGAGTCTCCTGCCACTGTCTTGACGTTATCCCCAAAGATACAATGTGGTAAATATCTTGACTCCAGAGTCCCTCGGTGCTGGGAGTGCAGCTGGGGGCCAAAATAATGAGCAAAAAGACATATCTCAAACCCACCCCCATCATACACCCATGGCCATATATAAGGTTGGCAGATGACATTTTTACATACATATTTGTATGTGCAGTAAGAATGTCTATATAACTAGAACTAATGGGAAAAGTTATGATAATTTCTTAGGCACAGTCAACAACCCTGATGGTGTTGTTGGACCTGTGGACTCAGGACCATGGTTGCGGGGGATATCAAGCTCAATTGGCATAACACTCTTCACAAAAACATTGTTCTACATCTGTGGTAGTTATGTTTGTGTGTCAACTTGGCTGGGCCTGGTTGAGTGGCTGGACAGCTGGTGGTAGTTAATCCCCATGAGGAGACTGGCAATCAACTCCATGGTGGGATCTACCACAAGCACCTGGGTAGCTGTCTTTGGGATGTGGTCTGCTTCCTGTATATAAGGAGAAGACTTTGGGTATGGTCTCTAGCCTATGGCACGCTTAAACCCTGCATGTAGCCGTGTCGTTGCTCAGTAGCCTGCCATGTTCTGCCGACCTTGGGACCTACAATGGACTTAAGTTAATGGCCTGCTGTGTGGTTTGGTAACATCGGGACTGTGCCTTTTTACTTGTCAACCTTGGGGCTTCTCAGCCTCAGCAGCCAGCGGCTGTCTGAGTGAAGAAATGCCTGTAGCTCCAGTTGGCCGGGAGCAGGAGGCAGAGCTGGACCCCAAGGTTGAAGGACTTTCAACCAGCCCCTAGAGCCTGGCATTTTCAACTTGGACTTAAAGCCTACAGATTGTAAGAATAAACTCCTGTTTGTTAAGGCCATTCCATTTGTGGTATTTTCCTGTCAGAGTGGCACTAGGTAACCAGAACAACATCTTATTTTGATGTGTAACAAGTGGGTCTTAAAAGCTTGCATGCAGCCATCTAGATAAAACAATGGGTCTCTCCTTGTCCAGAGAAAAGAATGAAGAAAACCAAAGACACATGGAAACAATCAGTCCAAGGGACTAGTGGACCATGTGAACCTCAGCCTATATGACCATGAGACCAGAAGAACTAGATGGTGCCTGGCTACCACTGTCAATCACTTGGGAAAAGATCAGTGCAGGAGATCCTGGATAGAGTGGGAGAACGATGTGGAACAAAACTCAAATTCATAAGAAAAACCAGGTTTACCGATTTGATAGAGCCTGGTGAGACCCCTGAGATTATTGCCCCTAGCTACCCTTTGGGTCTGGAATTAAACTCACTCCCATGGCTTCCAGCCAAACAACTGACAGGCATATAGGGTGAACATTTACATCAGGCAGATACACTCCTTAGAACTATTAGTCATGGGAGAACAAAAGGGCAGTCTATACGGGAGATAGCTCAGGGTGGAGGAATGCATAGGAAAGAAGGACACAGGAAAGAGGTAATTACAGGGAGGAAGTGGACACAGGAAAGAGGTAATTACAGGAAGGAAGTGGGAAGAGAGTTGTTACACTGTGGGGAACTGCAGTCAATGTTATGAAACAAAATATATATGAACTGCTGTATGGAAAATGAATTTGCTCTATAAACTTTCACCCAGATCACAATTAAAAAAAAATTAAACAAACCTCACCCCCTTGTCACCTGTCTCGATGAACAGTAGTGTCTCCTCGCAGCCCTCTCTCAGCTGGCACACCATGCTCCTCATGAGATGCCAGTCCCAGTTGTGGAGAGTAACCGCTCTGAAGAGTGAGGCTGTTGCTTCGTAGCACAAAAGACCCCCAGTCCCTAGAGAAAGAATGTTTGTCCAGGCATCTGTCCCTCACATTGCCTCCTCCATCCCTGGACTCTTCTAACTTCTGGAACCTGGCAACCAAGAGCTTGGCCTCCCCAGACATCCAGCCGTCCTTCCCCAGCGACATGAATCCAGCCCCCACCCTCTGAGGCCCCAAAGCATCCAACCCTACACGACATACGAGGCAGAGTGGAGATGATCCCTAGGAGGCCGAGCACCTTCACAAGGTTCAAACACTGGGATCCCATGGTCTTGTGTCAGGGTCCCGGATGCTGGAGGTCGCTCTGGAACTAATTTCAGTCTAGGCTTCGATCTGGATTCTCCTTAGTCCTTGGATTCTCTGTCCACCTGCCACTGAGTCACCATTTCTGGAGAGAAAGTTGGTTCTGTGACACAGGCGCCCTTGGACCTTCTAGGATACTGCTCTTCCCGTCTCCATAGTCTCCCTCCAATTGAACCTCCACCCACCACCTAAGCTGCTCATAGCTCAGCTCTCACTTCCTCTCTAGGTCCTCCCACTGGAACACGGTGACTGTGGAGGACACTGGCTTATTCAAAGGGTCACTATTCTACTGGCTCTACTCCCACCAGAGGCAATGAGACCAGAATAACAAAGGATGCTTAAGACCTCTGTGTGTGTGGAAGGTAACTGGCATATTCCTAAATAACCCTTGGTTCAAAAAGGAAACTTAAAAGAACTTCTTGTTGTTGTTGTTATGTGCCGTCGAGTAAGACCCGACTCATAGCGACCCCTCCTTAGGTTTCCAAGGCAGTATCACTACGGAAGTAGATTTCCCCATCTTCCTTCCAAGGAGTTACTGGTGGGTTTGAACCGCCAGCCCTCTGGTTAGCAGTCAAGTGCCTTAGGCACTATGCCACCAGAGCTCTTTTATACCTTTAGTATACAAATATTATCAAAAGGAACATTTTTGGGATTGTTGAATGAGGGTTGTTGTTGTTATGTGCCGTTGAGTCAGACCCGACTCATAGCATCCCCTCCTTGGGTTTCTGAGGCAGTAACGCTATGGAAGTAGATTGCCCCATCTTCCTTCCGAGGAGTGGCTGGTGCGTTTGAACCGCCAGCCTTCTGGTTAGCAGTCAAGTGCCTTAGCCACTACACTACCACAGCTCCCTAAAATAACTCAGCACTGAATAATCAAGACACTACATGTCACACACATGAGTGCATATCAAATCTGATGAAAATTTAATAATGTCTGTAGTCTATTTAAGAGTCTTGTACTAATATCAATTTCTTGCTTATGTCCTACAATTACATAAGATGTCCCCATAAGGAAGCTAGAGAAGAGTTCAAAACATTCTATGTACTATTTTTGTAACTTCCTGTGACCCAATAATCATTTCAAAATAAAAAAGTGTTTTCTTAACTACATGTCAAAATTTGAGACATAATTAAAGCAATATTTAGAAGTAAATTTATCAGAAAAAAAGCATTTAAAAAAAGAATGTTCATAAATTACCTCAAGAAGTTGTAAAAAGAACAGTAAAGCAAACTTTCCCTCCCTTCCACAAAAAAAGAACGGAATAAAGATAATGGCCGAAATTGATGAAATAGGGGGGAAAAGATGATTAAAAAAACTGAATGTTCAATCTTTGTAAAAATTCCCATTCTTCAAAATGTTACACAGAATGTGTTTTGATTCACACACTTGAATGCCTTTGCATAGTCAATAAAACACAGGTAATCATCATTCTGGTATTCTCTGCTTTCAGACAAGATACTTCTGACATCAGCAGTGGTATCTTTTATTCTACCTTCTGAATCCAGCTTGAATTATGGCAGTTCCCTGTTGATGTCCTGCTGCAACCATTTTTACATTATCTTCAGCAAAATTTTACTTGCATATGATATTGTCCAATAATTTCTGCATTCCGTTGGATCACCTTACATACATGGTGATCTCATGACAAACACATGGATCTCTTCCAGTCAATTAGCCAGATGGTTGTCTTCCAAATGTCTTGGCATAAACAAGTGAGTGTTTCCAGCGTTTCATCTGTTTGTTGAAACATCTCAATTGATATTCTGTTAATTCCTGGAGCCTTGTTTTTCACCTATGCCTTCAGTGCAGCTTGGACTTCTTTCTTTGGTACCGTTAGTTTTTGACTATATGATATCTCCTGAAATGGTTGGACTTCAACCATTACTTTTTGTTACAGTGACTCTGTTTATTCTTTCCGTTTTCTTTTGATGCTTTCTGTGTCATTCAATATATAAGGATATTGGGTCTCTTGTGCACTGCTGTTCATGGAGTGACTTGGGGAAAGGGGTTATAGGACCTTGTGGACTTTGAGAAACAGAAGTGTTGAGAGCACTGATCACTGTTTCCGGTCTAAAGCAGCACTACAGGGAGGAATCTGGTAATACTTCATTTGGTTTACAAATACCCAATTCTATTCCTAGGTTTACAGAACAAATGTCTAACTGAGTCTACCAAGGAACATTTATGAGGATACAACATTATTGGGGTGGAGGTGAATGGAAGCAATCAATGTGTGGGTCCCTCCCCAAGTCCATGAAGCACTTAGAAGCAGCTGTTAATTGTACACATAACAAAGATGCATCTTAAAAGCACAGTGGCGATGACGCTAAATAGTAAATAACACATCACTTGCATAAATTAAAAATTCAAGCACATAAAACATTACACATTTTACAAGAAAATACAAACCAAGATATACAATAAACCAAAAAACCAAACTCACTGCCAGATCCGACTCATAGCGACCCCTTCTTGGGTTTCCGAGGTGGTATCACTACAGAAGTAGATTGCCCAATCTTCCTTCTGAGGAGTGGCTGGTGGGTTTGAACTGCCAGCCTTCTGGTTAGCAGTCAAATGTCTTAGGCACTATGCCACCAGAGCTCCCAGGATATACAGTAACCACCTTAAAATGACTGCCTATGGGAGAGCCATGGAATGAAGGTGGTGAATTGAGATTAGAGGAAATAACTAACTAAAACAATATAGAGGGTACAAAGTTAGTGGGCTTTGGACTTAAGATAGACCAAGGTCAGAATCCTTACTCCTCCAGTTACTAGTTGTGTTATCTGTGCAATTTGTTGAACGCTGAGTCTGCTTCATCTTTTATAAAATGGATTAATAATACATCTCATGGGGTCATTGTGAGAATTAGTAAGATTATTAATATAAAGTGCTGGGCATATGCTAAACTCTCCATAAATATTGGTTCTCCTGTCTCTGGCTCCACTACCTAAAGGATCAAGTTCACTTGGCATTCTGGCTCCTCCCCCAGATTGGCCCCAAACCATCTTTCTAACCTTTCCAACTTTATCTAGTACTGTTCCCCTGCACAGCAGTCCAGCAGGAGTCACTTGGGCCACCTCTTTCTGTCCAGAATGCCACAGATACACAGGTGATGTCTCAAAACTCTATGGCAAACAAAGCAGCTAAGACCCCCAGAAAAGATGGGGCACAGGAAGGGAAAATGAAGGCTGATGAAGGATCGTGCAGAGGGATTGGGGCAATCAGAAGAGATGGCATACAGCAGGGTGGGAATGCAAAACAGCAGAATCCAACAACCTGAACACAAATGGATATACAACCCAACAGACTAAACTCCTCAAGAATAAAAGGATGGCATGGTCAGAGGAAGCAACTCTTTGAATAGAGAACCATACACAGAGGGAGGGGCAAACAGGCGGAATGGTACCTTGAAAATGGAGAGAGGGGAGGACCAGCAGAGTACAATCAGAGCAAGGAAGTGAGGAGAGGAACATAAAGACAGGGCTGCCAGGGGGACAGAGACAGTCTCAGAGGGAGAGAGAGAAAAGGGGATCACATACAGAGGGCTGGGTGAGGAAAACGTGAAGCTAGGCCTAAAAGAGACGCAGAGAAGGCAACAAGTTCAGAAGGGAGCCCCCAGAACAGGGTGAAATCCTCGAGGGAGAGTCACACAGGCGTGGGAAAGGATGAAAAGACAGAAAAACTACAAAATGGAGCCCCCAGAGAGGTCTGGGGGAAAGGAGAAGGTAGCGGAAGGGGACAGGCAGGTAGGGAACGGCGGCGCACGGGGAGGAATGGAGTCTGAAAATCAGCAGTACAGATAAGGAGGGAGAAAATGGAAGTCAGGAAAATCAGAACACATGGACCAGGAGAGAGAAACAGGGAAAGGAGACGAACTGGGGGGGCAGGAAGTAAATGGGAAATCACGGGAGAGAGCGTGCATACAAGGAGAAGGGTAGATAAAGACTTGGGGTACAGGGGAGAGAAAGAAGAGAAAACCGAAGCGTCAACGCATCAAGGAAAAGCTGCGGAGCGCAGACAAAAACCCAAATAGACGGTGGTGTGTGTCCACGCAGCAGCGCCAGAAGGGCTATGCTGTGCGCATGCGCAGCCAAGCTGCGTTCAACGCCTGGGGTGGCGCCCTGTAAGCGGTTCCTTGGAGGAAGGGCTAACCCCAGTGCTGGAAGCAGTACTCGACGCCCTATTGGTCACCTCCTTCAAAAAAGGAGGAACAATCTGAGAAGGCAAGCCACAGGGGAAGGGGGAAGGGAGAAGAGGAACGGGTGAGAGATTCAACTCGAAGCGCTATTGGCTGGCCTGACAGTCTCGCACAAACAGAAGCGAGCGGGAGGTAAAGGGCAGGCCATCAGCTCTTAATCTCAAAGGTCATTGGATGTCTGCCTCTGTGGTGGTAGGCGGTGCTCGAAGCTGATTGGTCCCTGCTACAAGGGGCGGGAAAACAGCGCGAGCACAGCCGTTCCTCAGGCTACTTCTTTACTCGGTTAGGTCGCGTCTTCTTGACTGACTCTGACCCCGCTCGAGGCTGTGGTAACCTGAAGGCTGGCGGCGAACACCACCCCTCCCTCGCTGCCCTCTCTCCCCCATCTCTCTTGCCGCTGGACACCTCTCCAGGCATCCCCTCCCTTTGTCTCAGGGAGGCCCCTCTGGAACTTCTTGTGTCCCTCACCTCTTTCTCCCAACTCCACGCGCTCCCTGTGCCCCTCCCCCTCCCTGGAACCCTGGGGCGGGGCCGCTGCCCAGCAGTTGTGGGGTGGCTACTGAAAGTGGGTGCTGGCATGGGGAGGTGATGCTCTGAAGGGGTGGGGTGGGTAATGCATGAGAGTAATTGTTGTAAGCCAAGGAGCTTGAAATACTGGATACAACCACTACATGGGGTTTGAGTCAAAGACTGGATGTCGTGTGGGTACATAGAGGAATTAGTGCCTGAGGAGAGGATTTCTGGCTAAGATCAGGGCCAGGCGCAGGGAAGGGGCTCAATGTACATGGAAGGAAGGAAGGTAAATAATTATTGAAAATGAGGCAAGGTAGTCATGAGAATAATGTAATTACCGGGGGTGCAAGGGAGTATTCCGATTAAAAAGGGTGCAATAACAAAATGAGATTGAAGGAGTGCAAGGGGGAAATTGAATTGCAGGTCACACATAGACTAATAATAGAATCGAGTGTGGGTGCATAAAAATATTTGTAGGCATTGAATAAATGCTGGAAAGTCAGATGATAATTGTTGCAGAGGATGCCAGGAATATCTGTTGGATGGAACAGGGTCCTTGTGGAAAGGGAGGTGTGGGAATTGTTGCAGGGGGCATGAGAGTGTGAGTATGCTTGACACTGGGGTTTGTGACACATGGGGAAGTGTGAAGGTGAGCAAAAGGAGTACTTTCGGATTAAAAGGGCATATAAGAAAGGAAAGAGAAGAGGGATTTCTTAGGGAAAAGGTGGTCCTAGGAAGAAGGACATGTGAGGAGGGGATGAAAGCTGAGTCCAACGTGGGTGGGATAGAGAACTGCCTCAGCTGTGGCCTCCCAGAGATGCAGAGGTTGCTTAGGGGAAGACCCACATGGCTATGGTGACCTTCTACTCCTGCCCCTAGATCTATGGAATCCAATAAAATAGCTGCTGGCAACCACTGCCCCTCAGACTCTGCTACAGGGGGCGAGACCAAAGCCCCCCAGAGGACTGAGCTCATTCCCCGGAGAACTGTCAGTCGTTCTCCAACCTGTGCCCGCTGCCGCAACCATGGTGTCACTGCCCACCTCAAGGGACACAAGCGTCTCTGCCTCTTCCAGGCTTGCGAGTGTCACAAGTGTGTCCTTATCTTGTGAGTATGCGGTTGAGGGAGGGGAAGAGGACAAGCTGCCTCTAAAGGGTGGCTGATTTTTGACTCACAATCCCACCTTTTAGGGAGCGCCGAAGGGTCATGGCTGCCCAGGTGGCCTTACGTAGGCAGCAGGAGGCACAGTTGGCTCAGGGACTGATGAGAGGGGCAACCCCTGCCAAAGCTCTCAGCCGGGTCAAGAAGGAAGCTGTTCGACCAGTCGTTCTCCCTTGTGAGTGTCTCTGTCCAGGGATGGGCAGGGGTTCGAATGTGGAAAGCATAAGTAGAGAAAAAAGTTCCAGTTCTACCACTGAAGAGTTGTATGACCTTGGGCAAGGTATTTCTACTCTCTGGGCTCAGCCTCTCCAACTATAAAATGTGATCAAGTATTGGGAGGATGGAGTGAGATCTGGGAGTAGAAAAAAACCTTGGAGAGGTAAGAACTCAGTTTGGGAGTGAGGTAGGGTGAGGGCCAGGGGAAAGTCCTCACTAAAGTTCTCCCTGGTTCCTCACAGCTGGGAAGGAGAACATAGCACCCCAGCCTCAGGCCTCCCATGGGGCAATCCCACTGGCCTTGACACCCCCTGGGAAGGTAAGGATACTCTGGGCCCAGAGGGAGGGGCTCCCACCCAAGCCATTGCCCAGGCCTCCTCCTCTGTCTCCTGGACATCTGAGTTCTACCCCCAGCCCTGATGTGCTGTTTGTAATCTTGGACAAATCACTTCTCTTCCATTAGCAAAATGAAGGGGTAGAAATTTAAGACCCTCTAAGCTCTGATGTCTTGGGATCCTACCTACATCCGCAAACATACCCACTCCTCTCCCGCATGCTCAGCCTCATACCTGACTCCAATCTGTGCCCTTTGCCCCTCAGGAAAACTCCCATGGGCCTCTGCTCCTCAGCCGTCCCCCAGAAGCCTTTCCTTCGCCCTGGACTCCTCTACCTCCAGGCCCTTGGGCTCCTGGGCACTGGCTACCTCCAAGCCTGTCCATGCCACCCCCAGTGGTGTGCCGCTTGCTTTGCCAAGAATCTGCTGTCCCTCTGCATCCTTTCCCTGGTAAGATAGTCATTCAGCATTCATTCATTCAACAGCTATTTGAGGGTCAATGTGCTGCTCTATCGAGAGAGAAGAGGAAGGACACAAGAGTGAGGAGAGAGGGGACAGAAGCATGACCTCTGACCTCTGTACACTCTGCATTCCCCAACTCTCATTAGGCTTTGTTGTTAATAATGTATTTTATTTAACCCAGTGTATCCGAAATTTATCATTTTAACATGCAATTGATATAAAAATTATTAAAAATTTTTACATTCCTTTTGTTGTTGTTGTTATACTGAACCTTAGAAATCTGGAATGTATTTTATGCTTAACTAAAAAAAAAAAAAAAAAACCCTCAAAACCAAAAATATCCAAGCCGCTGCTGTGGAGTTGATTTCAACTCATGGCAACCCCACATGTTACAGAGTAGAACTGAGGTATGTTGTTGTCTTTGTTGTTATGTGCCGTCAAGTCAGACCGACTCATAGCGACCCCTCCTTGGGTTTCCGAGGCAGTATCACTGCAGAAGTAGATTACCCCATCTTCCTTCCAAGGAGTGGCTGGTGGGTTTGAACCACCAGCCTTCTGGTTAGCAGTCAAGTGCCTTAGGCACTACGCTACCAGTGCTCCTGAACTGAGGTATAGCACACCTCAATTAGGACTAGCCCCATTTCAAGTTCTCAGTAGCCACACGTGGCAACTGACTTCTATATTTCACAACACAGATTTAGAGACTTGATCAGTTTCAGGTTCTTTGTTTCTGTTTTTTGAAAGGAATGGCTGGTTGTTGTTGCTCTCTCTCTCCCTCTCCCCTCCATTAGGCTTTGACTCTGGCACCTCACTCCGCCTGCCCACTCATGGGCCCCTTCCAACCTGCTCAGGACCTCGCCCAATTTTGACAGCTCCTTTTTCTGGAGAGCCCCAAGGGCCCCCTGGCCTACCCCGCACGTGAGTAGGAACAGAATGCGGTATGTTTATCATGTGCCTAACATTGTGCCTAGCACTGTAATGGATGATGAAGAAGAAAAGGTCTCAGATGAATAGACTAGCTGTGAGACATTGGACAAGTAACTCTACCTCTCTGAGCCTTTTTTCCTCTCAGCAAATGTGGGACACTATCACTTGGATTGTTGGGAGAATTAGTGATACCATATGGAATATATCCAGCACGGGCGCTGCCCTCGAACAAATGGTGGCTACTGCGTCCACTTAACCAGATAAGATGGACTAGAATTGCCTGATGAAATGGGGGGGGGGCATGCTGGGGAGCACTGCAGAGAGCATTAGAGAAAGCTTCCTAAAAGTAGGCCAAGCTGGTTCTTCAGGTTCCCTGGGAATTGGGGGGACTGGGGGAGGAAAACCAAACCCTAGGCAGGGACAGTAATCCCAGTTCCTCCAAGTGTTTTGTAATTTTAAAAAACTGACACCAATGATTTCCTGTAAAAAGAAATTGGCAGAGATTTTAACTTTACAGAAAACAAAGCAGGCCAACACTGGGGAAGGGACTTGCCCAAGACCACGAAACCCAATGGCCCAACAGACAGCTTCCCAGATCAGGACAAGCAAAATCCTGCTGCTCTTTCTGTGCTTACGTTTCTGTCCATGTGTTTAACCTCCCTGGCATCTTCTCTCCATGTTTTAGATGCTCAACTCTGATCCTCCAGCCCTGTGGCACCCCAGACCCTCTTCTGCTGCAGCCCCAGGTCCTGAGGAAGTGGGATTCGGGACTCTGAGGGAGGGAACTAGGGGCTGCAGGAGCACTTGCAGGATGGGCAGAAGTGGGCATTCCTAGTGTGCTGCTCTTGTTTCCCATTGCAGGTCCCTGGAGCCTCTCACCTAGCCTGGACATCGGCCCCATCAGAACGGCAGCTTCAGAGGGAGGCAGCTGAGGCCCTTGTGGGGCTGAAAGATTCATCCCAGGCTCCTCGACTAACCACTTCTGTCCCCTCCAACCCTGCCTGGATCTCCCTGCTCCACCCCTGTGGTCCAGCAGGTAACCTGTTTCCTGCCTACAACCAGAGTAGGATGGGAGAGGATGGGATAGGGATGGTTGGGAGATGGAGGTCACTGGAGTGAGCAGACCAACCAAGGAGATAGGTGTTGGCAGGTTGAAGCTCTGTACGTGCAGACCTAAGCTCTGCAGCCTAGCCCCTGGGGTAGCACTTGAGGGTTGTTCACATCGAGCCTTGCACTCACCAGCAAATGAATAGTGACCCAATGTCAAGGAAAGTGAGGGCCCGAGAGAGGCAGGGACTTGCCCAAAGCCAGACAGTGGCAGAGCCTGACTCCTCACACTAGCCCAAGACACTCTCTCCAGACCCAGGCTGCCTGCTGATGTCTGGAGAGGAGCTGAAGATGTAACAAGAGTCAATCCTGGAAAGAGGTTTGATAACTGCCCTCAAGGAACTTCTGTTCCAATTGCGGGATGTGGATGCCTTCAGAAGGCACAGTGACAAGCCTGGAGAGAACTGGAGGAGACCTGAAGAATAAGAAATACCTAGGGAGACAGGATAGGAGCTCTGGTAGCATAGTGCCTAAGGCACTTGACTGCTAACCAGAAGGCTGGAGGTTCAAACCCACCAGCCACTCCTCGGAAGGAAGGTTGGGCAATCTACTTCTGTAGTGATACCGCCTTGGAAATCCAAGGAGGGGTCGCTTTGAGTCGGGTCCGACTCGACAGCACATAACAACAACAGGGAGACAGGATGGGAAGGCTGAGAATTCTCTAAAATGAGGGATTAAGCATGGTTTGTAGGTGAGAAGGGTATATTATCCAATGGTGAAGGTAAGCACAGTGCTTCCCTTGCTTACCAGATTATCTATAGTAAACAGTATTTTTTCACCACATCAAAGATTCTGCTTCTAGGTATGGCTGGCATGTGTCTCTCTCCCAACCCCACAGCACCTTCCTACAGATCAAAGCCTCTTTTCAAATCCACAGTCTGACAGGGATGGAGTACCCAGTACCTTGCTTACTGGGTAATCAGCTCCTGTGGGTAAGGAAACTGCCCTAGAGGAACTGCTGGAACAGAGGGAGATGAAGCTGGAGAGGCTTCTGATCCTGGAGGCCTGGCAGGTCCGGCTTAGGAGTCTAGATTCCACTGTGCATGAAGGGGAGCCAGGGAATGTTCCCAGACTAGGTAGGCACATATTCAGAGACCTGAGCTTCAGAAAGAGAAACACGGTGGCTGTAACGGAAGGATTGGAGGCAAGACTGGAGGTGGGAACATCACTGAGGAGGTCTGTGCAGTAATCCAAGTGGATAAGGATGAGGCCTGGACTGGGTGGTAGAGAAGAGGAGACTGGGGAAATAGTAGTGACCTGGCCTTGCCCCCTTCCTTCCTGCAGCTCCTGTTGGAGGAAGAGGCTTCCAGCCTGTTGGCCCCTCGCTCAGACCCAACCCAGCCCCCTCTGTTGCTCTGCATATTGGGCATCTAGGGTCTATCTCTCTCCTGAGCTAGAAACCCAGAAGTGGAGATTCACTGGGGTGAGGGGTGCACAGCCTGCTGCACTGCATATTTGGCATTGTGCTTATGGATTGATGCATGAAATTTAATGTAGTACAAGCTTCTGGCTTTTTTTTTTTTTTTTTTTTTTTTAAGCTTTCAAGTGCTTTGTTAGTCTTCAGTTTTTTTATAGCATGGGGCATTTTCTTGGCTGAGGATGGATCTTCTCTCTGGGATCTATTTAAATCCCCAATGAAGACACAGTTGTGCAGTTTAAGCTGACCAGTATCTAAATGAGTTTTTGCATGAGTTTATGTTCTAGGGCATTTATTTGACACGTGGCTCTGTACATACGTATGCACTTAGGTCTGTCTCCATGCATATCAAAACTGAAACATATTTCCATTTTGTGTGTAGGTTTGTGTGAGTAAACAAAAAATAAACATTTTTTGTTGTTTTGAGCCACTGAGATTTGGAGATTGTTTGTTACCACAGTCTAATCTAGTCTATCCTGACTGACAGAAAGGATTTATCCAATTCATTTTTCAGAATAAGAATCAGTTATTCAATAACCACATCAAATAAACACACACTTTGATTTCTTATTATGTCCAGACAAGAAAAAGTGGTAGAAGGAGATAATGGGAGATTATCTATGCCACCAGAGCTCCTATACTCAGTACATGATTATTCCCATGTTACAAATGAGACAAAAACTTTAAAGAGGTGAGGTGACTAGCCCAAGTGCTGGAAGGGAAATTTGTAGGCAAAGATCAGTGGCAATATGGAAACAATCAGTCCTAGCGACTGGTACACCATCCGATCTGCAACCTATACAACTATGAGACCAGAAGAACTAGATGGTGCCCAGCTACCACTGCCATCCACTTGGAAGGGATGTAGGAGATCCTGCATAAAGAGGGAGAACAATGTGGTACAAAACTCAAAATCATTTGGAGGCAAAAAAAAAAAAAAGAAGAAGAAGGTGGGGACCAGGTTTGCTGGTCCAATAGAGCCTGGTGGAACCACTGAGACTATGGCCCCTAGCTGCCCTTCAGGTATGGAATTGAACCCACAACTGTGGTTTCCAGCCAAACAAAGTACAGGCATGTGAGTTAAACATTTACCTCAAGTAGACACACGCCCTGGAGAGAACAATCATGGGAGAAGGAAGGGCTGCTTATGCACAGGGAGACAGCTCAGGGTGCAGAAGAGTATGAAGGGATGGACACTGGGAGGAGGTAACTATGGGGAGGAAGTGGGAGGGGAGCTGCTGCATTGTAAATTTTGGTCAATGACATGAGACAAAGTATATGTGAACTGCTGTATGAAAAGTGAATTTACTCTGTAAATCTTCACCCAAATCCTAATAATAATAAAAAAAAAAAAAATCAGTGGCAATAAGATCTTCTTTTTGCCAGGCCCCAAATGAATTAATAGGTAATTCTTATAAAGCTATTTAGTGACAATTTAGGATTCCAAGAGACAGACATGAGTCAGAAAAGCTTTTTGAGTCTTTTCTTTTTCTACTCAATATATCATTAAGTAAGATCTTAAGATCTTCCTTGCATTTGTTTCTCAGTTCTCTGCTGTTGAGTCCTTGTCCTTGCAGCATTCTAAACATGAAGCCCTGCAGAACTATCCCAGAGATACGAAGACCTGGAGATTCCTACCCCCTAGTCCCACCCTTAGAAGGGGCAGACAGAGCTCAAGGGAGTGTGCCTGACCACTGAGTCTTTTTCCTGACATCACCTACATCCCTCTTTTCACCCAAGATGATTGATAGTGATGACATCCATTTACAACTTGTTGTTTCTTGTTTGGGGCCTTGAGATGGTGGATTGTTTCTATTCCCTCAGATTACAACATAACAAACCTACAACATTTCTCAGGATGCACAGCAAAATACAAAAAGCCTGAAGTCCGTTTCACACCTTCCTTCCCTCCCCTAATTATAACTTAGATGTATGCTTCTTGAGCTCTGGTGGCATAATGCCCAAAGCATTTGACTGCTAACCAGAAAACTGGCAGTTTAAACCCACCAGCCACTCCTCGGAAGGAAGACTGGGCAATCTACTTCCGTAGAGATAACCTCCTCGGAAACCCAAGAAGGGGTCACTATGAGTCAGAATCAATGGCAGTAAGTTCTGTGTTTTTTTTAAGCCTGACTATGCTATGCTCTCTCAGTGACAGATGACCCAGCCCACACAGTCACGGAGGAGAGGAAGCGTTGTGACATGCAACACAGCTAAGATGTTGCTACTCGGGTCTTACTAAGGGTCTCCAGTACACCAAGGTCACACAGCCTACCAGGTAAAAGTGTGGCATGAGAAGGGGAACGAAAAAAGAAAGTGATGGAGATTGGAGCAAAGAATGGGGAGCAGGCCCTTCTTTATAGACCCTTCCTATTTCTCTGTAGCCCACCTCTGTTTCTGTGGCATAGCCACTGGCTATGCCTTTTGTTGTTGTTAGTTGCCATCGAGTAGGCTCCAGCTGACAGAGACCTTTTGTATAACATGCCTACACTATCAAATCCTAAGGGCCTCCCCATCCACAATCCAGGAAAGAGGGGCGAGGCCTTTATGGTGATCAGGAGAAAGAAGAGTGCATGTGGTCCAATGCCTAGCCTCCTGAAGTCAGTACACTTCTTCACAGGTGGCTGTGGATAGCCAATGGGCTCCTGGCTGTTGCCCAGCTCTCAGAGACTGTCTCATGCACCATTCCCACTGCAGGGTGGAAAAAGATGTTTCCCTAGGTGTTGGATATACCTCACAATGAAACAAGTTCTCCCAGAGAGGAAATTCTTCCTATGTCCCCCACACAACATGCTGAAAAGCATCACATACTGGCTTTTCCTGTTTGATATGGTTGCATCTGTTGCCATCCACCTGGAGCCCAGGGTCCAGAGCTGGAGAATCTGACAGAGAAGTGTTAGACGAGCCCCAAGAATAAGAGAGATGCAGGGTGAGAGAGGCAAGTTACAGCTTATCAAGATCAGACCTACTCTCACCATTTTTTTATTATTATTATTGTGATTTGGGTGAAAATTTACAGAGCAAATTCACTTTCCATACAGCAGTTCACATACACTTTGTCTCATGACATTGACTACAATTTACCCCAATGCAACAGCTCCCCTCCCACTTCCTCCCAATAGTTACCTCTTCCCTGTGTCCAACCCTCCATGCACTCCTGCCCCACGAGCTGTCTCCCTGTGCATAAACAGCCCTTTTTTCCCCGTGATTATTCTCTCCAAGAAGTGTATCTACTTCAGGTAAATGTTCAACTCATATACCTGTCTTTTGTTTGTCTGGAAGCCACAGGTGTGGGTTCAATTCCAGACCTGAAAGGCAGCTAGGGGCCATAGTCTCAGTGGTTCCACCAGGCTCTATCAAACCAGGAAACCTGCCCCCCCGCTTTTTTTTTTTCAAATGATTTTGAGTTTTGTTCCACATTGTTCTCCCTTTCTATCCAGGATCTCCTACATAGATCCCCCTTCTGAGTGGTTGACAGTGGTAGCCAGGCACCATCTAGTTCTTCTGGTCAGCTGTAGATCTCATGGTATACCAGTCGCTAGGACTAATGGTTTCCATGAATCTTTGATTTTCTTCATTCTTCTTTGCTCTGGATGAGGAGAGACCCATTGTTGCATCTAGATGGCTGCTTGTAAGCTTTTAAGATCCCAGTTACTCTCGCCATTTTTAAAGACTCTTTTCAACTGAATTTATTGGAAAGAGCTTGGGTAGTCATATGTTGTGGATTCAAAGCCCAGCTCAAGCTTTAACCTTATGTGGTCTTGCACAAGTGACTTGATTCTAAGCCTAAATTATCTGACCTATAACCACTTCACAGAGTTGTTGATTAAACAAACACACTGCTATCAAGTTGGATCCGATTCATAGCGACCCCTCCTTGGGTTTCTGAGGCAGTATCACTATGGAAGTAGATTGCCCAATCTTCCTTCCAAGGAGTGGCTGGTGAGTGTGAACTGCCAGCCTTCTAGTTAGCAGTCAAAAGCCTTAGGCACTACACCACCAGAGCTCCCACCAGAGTTGTTGATTATGAACCCATAAAAACTAACACCTATACAAATTAATACCAAGGATACCTGTTCCATCTAAACTCATAGACTGTCAGAAAGATGGCCCTTTGAAGTCTTATCAATAGAATGGGATATCCACCCACTCCTGTCTGGAGGATCTGAGCCGTGTGAGGCACTTTGACACAGAGAAGCAGGTGTGATATCCAACCCAGGTACACAGCTTCACATGATGGGTTTCTGGAGACAACCCATTTATCTTAACTGTAATTTACAAGGAAATAGGTCCCTGGGTCTGCTTCTCAGCTCAGGATGATGCTGAGTCTATTACACAAGGCCTTCTTTGCTTTGAGTCCATCAAAACAGTTTAATAAAAATTTTACCTAAGCTCCACCCTTGTCCTATAGCTGAGGCATGCTTCAGTTTCTCCAGAGAAGTCACTTATATATATATATAGATAGATATAGATATAGATATAGATAGATAGAGAAAGAGAGAGAGAGAGAGAGAGAAAGAGAAAGAATTAAGTTTAAATGATTCAAAACTTAAATTTTAGAAGTGTGTAAAAAGCTAATGGAAATTACTCAAGAATATGGACATTTCTACTTAACCAGGCATGCAAATATTTATTCACACACATACATGCTTCTCATCTTAGCAAAAAGAAAAAAACAGATAATAAATATTTTCAAGTTTTAAAAACAGTGTGAAATAAGGTATGCAAGGATGGTTCAATGTTAGAAAAACAATCAACATCATCCATCAAGGATGGTTCAATGTTAGAAAAACAATCAACATCATTCATCACAGAAATAAAACAAAGGAAAAGAACATGATCATATCAATTGATGCAGAAAAGGCATTTGATAAAAATCCAACACCCATTTCTGATAAAAACTCTCAGTAAAATAGGAATAGAAGGGACATTCCTTAACATAATAAAGGGCATATACGCAAAACCAACAGCCAATATTAT